TGAAAAGTAAACAACACACAGACCTGTATGTTTAAATATCACAACTGTCCAAACATTGCACCATTTTTCATTTTGATTTTGTCCTTCATAACTTTTGCCTGGATGTATTTTTCACTTTTTTTCCTTTTTTTTGTGTGGCCCCAAGTCTTTCCTCTGGGCTCTAACTCCTCTGAAAGGCCCTTGATAGACGAGCAGTTTGCCTTTCCCCTCAGCGATGCCTCCAGAGAGCAAAGTGACACAGGATCAATGTAATTATGTTGATTCAGTGTTTGTAGCCCCAAAGCAGGTTAACCTCAGTGCTCTCACGGGCCTGTGGGACCTGCCACTCACTATCGAACTAAGAACATCCAGCAGGTCAACATATATCAGCTTGATTTAAAAACAACTAAATAACATCACTTTCCACTTCCAGAGACACGGAGTGTGAGCAGGAATCAATGTGAAGCTCGTGTATAAAAAAAAAAAATCAAAATACCCTGCAGGATTCTCACAAAATGACTGTCCAAGTGTGAAATATTAGAAGTCATCATCACGTTCTTACCCATATTACTTTCATTAACTGAGCCAAAGAGAATCTCTGCCAAAGCAACGCTTCACAGAGAATGAAGTAATTTCTCATTAAATGACATTAGAAGCTGTTCTTGTATTAGTGTTTAAACACAAAATGCTTTGTGTGACGCACAGGCAGCATGTGATGGTCCTCTTGTTAAAATTGGGGACTGCATATACAAATAGAGGGGTTTGTTTTTGAAAATTTGATATTTCAATACAGATGGTAATATTGTTAATCGGGGAAATCTCTAAGTGATTTGCATTAAAGCTGCTGTATTTTTGTTATTTTAAAACTCCTCTTTGACGATTCTTGACACTGAGATTATTCACCCAGTAGTACTATTAAAAATAAATAAAAAGAGGACCAACACAAACACAAACTTGCCATCTTTAGAACACCTCATTAACTCTGGAAGTTAAAACATACCAGGGGCGGAGCGTGGGGGTGGCTTACGGGGCTTAAGCCCGGGTTGTTTTGTCAGAAGCCCGGGGTATTTTGGAGTGTAATTTTTTCATAGTTAGATGCCTGGCTGACAACTGTATAAAACAAAAAGTACACACAATATTCGAAGCACATAGTGCACACTGTGGGAATTTACGACTGTGCGTGAATCCCCCCCTGATATTGGTATGATCCAAGCTCAGGCACTAAGCGACTGAGCGAGGGGGCGGGGGAGCTGCTGCCCGTGAGTGCGCTGTTGGAGAGACGGAGCCAGCCATACTAAGGAGAGCTTAAGTTTGACCAAAGCAAATCATTCGTACCGTACAAATAATGTAAATATGACTGTGCATCACGAAAGATTGATATGAAACTGATCACTTGACCAATATTATTTTACTTGCTCTTCAAGTGAATCAACAAATGGCGAAATGAAAAGCCGAACAAATGCTATTTTTTAGAGAGTCTTAGCTTACGTGTGTTTATTTCATATTTTCAGTTCTTACCCTCCCCGACTAAATCGGTTTCAGTTATGTACTGAAATATAAGAATGGACATTAGAGGCTTCTTTCAAAGAAAAAACTCAGGTAAATGTTATTTTATATATTATGCTTTGTATGTTGTTCAGTATATTTCTATGCAAAACAAGAGGGGTTTCAGTACACAGGAGGATATTCACATTTGTAACCAGATATTTACATACACTTTAGGGAGAAAACATAAAACATTTTTACTGTACAACATCAATTTAGAGTAAACTTTTGTTTTAGATAAATATTGAAATATATTTTGAATTAGTTAAATGTCAGAATAAAGAGAGACAGAGCTGTCTATTTTTTATCACTTTCATTAAATTTAGGAGTACATATACACTAAGTTTATTGTTAATTAATAAGAAAACTCCAGAGGATTCCATTCTGAGCTGAAGAAGCTTCTGATAGGTTAGTAGAGTCCAGGTGAGTAAATTGGTGGCACAGCTGTGGATGCATATAAGGCAAAACACAAAGCCTGTTTCTGTGACATGGGAAAATCAAGAGATGTCAACCAAAACACCAGGAAAAGAATCGTGGAGCTCCATAAGTGTGGCTCAGTTTGAATACAATTTGGTGCCATTTGCAATTAAAAAACACAGACAGTTTCTCTCTTTACTCTTAAAGTTAACAAATATGTTTTTATATTTATCAATCTAAAAAAATAAACATTTAGTCTGATTTGATGTTACAATTAAAAAAGGGTTTGTTTTGATCTGAAGAGTTTGTAAATATCTGGTTTCAACTGTATATTTGATGATTGTCAGCACAAAGAGAGAGAGAGAGGAGCAGAGATTGAGATGGAGAATGAGGACAGAACAGAGATGAACAAGAGCAGGTGAGACACACATGTTAGTATAGCCTTTCTGGGTTGCTTACTAAAAGTATCACCGTATCATAGGTACTCATGTATCTCGTACCTAGTGTTTCTTTTTAGGTTTGCTATTTTTCAAATTCTATATTTATTAAGTTCTGCAGGCTTGTTTGCACAACAAGGCTAAATAATTATATAAACTTTTCTCAATCTAAATATTGTACTTTGGTAGAATTAAATAAATAAGTGTAGTGCAGGTCTATGATGATTTTTAGTGCTACTATCATCTAGTTCTGATTGTGGTTATGTCTTGGTTAAGTCCCCCCCCCTCAAAAAAAAAAAAAAATCCCACATGCATACTACCCTTTAGGGCTAAGCCCCGGGTGTTTCAAATGTCTGGCTCCTCCTCTGAAACATACATGGAAATACAGTATATAAGGCAATAACAGAGTCAGTACAATTCTAACAAGCATAAAAGTCAAAGTCAATATTTGCATGACAGCCTGAACTCTCTAAAGCAAGTATTCTTGTCATTTCTTTAAGTAGTCTTCAAGAATAGTTCTCCAGCCTTCTTAAAAGACATTCAAATGTGCTCTCTTCTTTAGAAGTTTGCATTTTCTGTGAAAATGATCCCACTCTGCTTCAGTAATGTTGAGGTCCAAGTTCTGGGGAGGCCAATCCATGACTGATAGTTTTCCATTGTGTGTGTTTTCTATCCAGCATTGTGTTTGTGATCATTGATATGCTGACAAACAAAGGTGTTTCCAGATGTTTTTGCATGGTGGATCAAAATCTGACTGTACTTTTCTGTGTATAATTTCATCCATTAGCCTCCATGTTTTACAGATGGCTGTAGATATGGTTGTGTGAATGTATGCGTGAATGGGTGGATGACTGGATATGTAAAGCGCTTTGGGGTCCTTCGGGACTAGTAAAGCGCTATATAAATACAGGCCATTTACCATTTGTACCTCTTGCCTGACCTTGTCTGTACATGCTGATGATGATTTGAACCAAAAATTTCAAATTTGGATTCATCACTCCATCATCCATCATCAGTATCATGGAGTGATAAGAATTACTTAAGGATTATGCACCATTCCAGTAAAAGCATTTCTAATGAGGCTTCAGTGAAGACTAGCTGAATCAACTAACAGGCCAGAAGCATCTCTCAGGTCCAGTGTCAGGTCTTTTCTGGTTTTTATTTTGGTTTTTTTCTTTTTGGCTGACTTTGAGATATTGTTCATCTGCTGTAGATTTTAGGCCTGCTACTTTTGTTCTATACAGTTTCCTCAAATTTTGTTAAGGACACACTACACACCATGCCGAGATTTACCAGGTTTTGCTTTAATAGCTCTTTGGATTCACTTTGTTGCCATGTTTCATAGTCAGCTAAAAACTGGAATAATTGATGTCTTTTTGTGACAGTTAGTAACAAAGTGTCTGAAGATTTGCTAAATTGTCTGTTATGTAGACACAACACTGGTTCACCCCTTGAATATGCTTTTATATGCTTGAATGATTCATAGGTCAGTGTTAAGTGGCTTCACAAAAAAACAAAAGAATGAAAAAAAGACCTTCAGAAAGCCTGGAGAACTATCACTCAAAACCACTTTAAAAAATGACAAGAAAGCCTGGCTCCTTGGATCTAAAGAAATAAGGGGCAGTTTAAAACTTTTGTACAGTACTGTATTCAGTCCAGAAATGGCCTTTAAATAAAACAACATGGTACAATCTAGTGTGCCTTTTTTATATTGGTTACAAATGCACTCTGGCTGTAAAACTGTTTTGTGATGAACTCTCAATACTTGAACCCACAAGCTATGCACTTATTGTATATGCATTTAGGGCGTTGTGTGAAAAATAGGGCCTCCTGCACAGGCAAGGGGGAGATGGCAATATGTTTAAAAGCACTGTAATGGATGCTGCTTCATTAATAGGGAATAAAAAAACTCTTACAGCACCGGCAACAGGCTGGAGTACTGTATATAATTAACCTAATTATGTCTGGTAGTCTAAATTGAAATGCACTGTAAATTTAGATATTAACGTCTAGACCAAGCTCTGCTCTTAATCATCTTAATTTATGTTGGGACGACATCAAACCGCAGACGAGTCTTCGTGTTTAATGGACGGACCCCCCTTTTTCGCCTCCGGTCCTTGCTCTTCACTGACACTTCCTCCTCCTCCTCCTCTTTGCTGGACTCCTGTTTCCCGGGAGGGGATGAGGTGGCGACTGGGTTCGGGGGTGGGCACATACTGGAGCTCTCACACCATTCATTCAGCTGTACGGCACTCACCACCAGACAGAGCAAACAAGATTTTCCCTGAGCCCTCACAGCCTCTCCCCATTAGTGCTCTGTCTGGGCCTGTCTGTCTGAGAAAACAGACGTTATTAGCCGAACCTTCTGGAGGCACAGAGCCATATTAAGGCTTTAAATGTTTCCTATCCAAATGCAGAAATTTCATATGAGTTTATGAGCCGAGGCAGGAAACTTTCCATGTCAAACCTTCCACAGCAGTGTTACACGAGGCACTTTTTTTGACAGTTCACATCAAGCCGGGAGTAAATTGGATATTGAACAAAAGCAATTTATAGCACGAATCTTAATCTCTTAACCAAGCATGTCACAGCCACCCAACGCCATAAACTTGACACAACCTCTGAAGCAGTACGAACATATTTCCTCTTTTATTTACATTCCTTTTCAAATGTTAACATTTTTCGCTATAACTTTTTGATCAGGTTGGCATTTTTTTTCTCATTAAAATAAATTGGCACAAGTAAAACATATGTAGACAAAAGTTTATTTACACCATACAACATTTTGTTTTTAAATATTTTATACAGAGCTGCAGATGAGAGAGCTTGCTGGGATCCTTCAAGCAGATTCTGCAGTAATAAAGTTGTGAAATATATTATTTATATAAAAGTGAGTATTATCTTTATTGCATTTAAAGCAATGAAGAATGTAGCTTGACAAACATTCATTTTAATATGACAGAAAAAATCCTCTTTGCCTCCCATGTTTTATATTATAAAGTAAAAAGTGTAGTAATGGCCAAACAGACTGTTATAAACTTTTTAAAAACCTGCATAAATATATACATTGTGCTCCCGGGTCTAGTTTTAGGAAATCAAAACTAGACCCGATGAAGCTGGGACCACATGGCATGTCTTTGCTTTGTGAGGTTTACCTTTTTTTTTTTAATCCGCTTTCTTTTCGCCAATTCCTCAAAAGATAATTCGAAACACATGATGGTAAATATTGTACACCAGGCTGCCCCACACTAAGTACACTAGTGAGAATACAAAAAGTAACACTGATGTTTTTATCCCTTTTTTTTCTTCTTTTTTTCTCTCTCACCAGTCCTTATATTGTATTGGCACATAATGTCCCTGCCACACTCGTATTATCCAGATATGTATGCCAAGGCTGTTAGAAAAGTCTGTTGCTTTGTTCAGTGCAAATTACATCCCCTTTTCTCCTCATTTCCTAGTTTGCATTTCACCTTCTCCGCCCTCTAGACCTCTGTTTGGAAGTCTCCCTCCTGGACATCTAAGGGTAAGTTGACACACTTTTCCCACTCTGCAGGCGTCATCTCCAGTGAGTCCTTGGTGTCAGATTCTAGTACATTCATAGTGGCGTAGTTCTGGTACTCACAGGCTGGATTGTAGCTCTCCCATGGGTTCTTGTTTGGCATTGCCTTGTCCTGTGAACATGGCCGGTGGGGTGTGATATTAGTGGCATGATATCCTCTGCAGCTAAACCATTTTCTGTCTTTTACATAGTTGAAAGTCAGTTCACTCAAAAGGGCATTATCTGAACTCATATATGAACCCACTTCTAATTGAAAATAATGGATTAATGCTGTGGAAAGCATCAAATAACAAAAGATAATGGTAGTGTATTAAAGGTGAACATGCTTACGCTATTATCATGGAGTCATAGCAGAACTGTGTTTTCCCAAAGTTCTAAAACTGCTTTATTATATGGGCTCCATATGTGAGCCATTCATCTGAATGTGCTCTTACTGAGAATCCCAAAGATGCTATTGCAAATAAAGGAGAGAAGCTGCTCCCAGTCAGGGAATATAAAATGGATACTAATGTCTGCAGCCAGCTCTGCAGTAGATTCATTTAGGTAAAAAAAAAAAAAGAAAAAGAGAGAGAAAAAGAAAAAATGGGGGAGTGAGAATGTGCTGTAGTTTTCTATACAAAAGATCCTGTATTGGTAACTAAGCAACAGGCCTTGAATTACATTGTACTGTAGGGCTGATTGAAAAGGGATTATATGCGACCAAAGGTACTGACATATCCTTTTATCAGATGTGTTTGGTCACCAACCCAATTTGTGCTTTCAGTATAAACATTAAATGCTGCTTGCGTGAGGCAGACGCGTGAAGCCTTATATCCTCACAGTCTGCAGCTGTAGTCAGGTGCGAAGACAGATGGTAAGACTTTTGATTTGCAGCGAGGTCAGGACTAATTCATAGAAGCAGCCTGACTTCTGGACCGAGCGTGATAAAGGAACGTTTCCCCCCCACACACACACACAGCCGCCAGAGGAGTGCAACGGCATTAAGGTCAAAGTTGTATACGATGCTGATAGATTAAATAATCTGCCATGCATTTATGGAAAAAATGATGGTGTTGCTAAGTAGATAAATGTGCATGTAAATAAAAGTGCATTCATGGCCTTGCATTGGAATGGATGCACTCTACTGCGACAAGAAAACCAAAGGTCCTTTTTCCCCTGGCCTCGTGGAAAAAATGCTTCAATGCTTTTAAGGGTCGGCCCCCGTCACTCAGCCTTCGCCAGCTGCTGGCAGGCCCGCTGCTTTACTGGACGGTTCACTTCTGCATGTACTTTAGCTACATAACCACTCATTTGCACAATCACACACTATGTGTCCTGCACCGGGTATCTAAATAGAGTATTTGGATGTTGCTCTGTTTCACTGGCTGACCGCCACCCCCCTGGTTTCCTGTTACTCACCATGCTGCCCATATTTGGTATGTCTCGAAATCGGTCCAGGGTTTGAAATTTCTGATTCAGTTCCTGGAACAGCTCCATGTGTCTTTTCCTGGTGTGCATGACTTTCTGCAATAGCAAGGGTTTTTCTTTTGGTATTGACAGCCAATAATGGAAATGCATCTTCCTCCCCACCCCCTCCAGCTCTGCTCAATTTGTTAGTGTCATGGTAGTTTACTTATAGGCCAGGTTTGAAACAAATCTACCTGTCACTGCATATACACAAGTGACTGCCAAAATAAAGGAAACAGCACTGTAATTAAAGTTAGGGTCAGAGGACACTGAAACGCTGAATAACCTACACTCTTAGTTTTGTTGGTGTCAGGGAAACCCTCGTAATCAAACCTTGGCACTAATTTTCCATTTAAGCCCAAGCTAAAAGAAAACACACCCCAAGCCAAACTAGATGCCATGTTTCCTTGATTTTGACAGAGTTTACAATATATATGCAGCAAAGCCTGATTTAACATTGCAAAGGAAATGCAATAACCTGCCAAAGGGGGTTTGACTATGTGTTTGCAAGCCAATAAAATCACTGCTGAAACCAGTGGTAAAAATCAGATGTGAAATGTGCAAATGACTTTAAAAGCATACATTTTGGAAATCAACATATAGCTAATGGATGTAGGAGATGGAGGAGGACAAAATGTAGATGAGAACTGTTGCCCTGTTTGTCAGTTGACAGCCTTGCTTTTACCTTAACTACACAGCGTGCCAATAAATCTCACTGAGTCAAGGCTGTGTAACTCCAATAAGCTTAAGAGGCACAACAAGAACTAGTAAATCAAATGACAAACACAACTGCAAAAATGGCCTTTCTCTGCATAAAAAGCTAGATGCATGTACCAAGGAAGGAAACATTATGATTTTACATACCTCAAAGTCCAGATCGGAGTAACGTGACTTTCTTCTCTGTAAACAGAAAATCGGAAAGTATTATGAAGCAGCCATGGGCCCCAATACAGATGTTTGGAGTATTTTAACATAAAAGTGTTAAAGTGCAACTGAATCTTCTGTGCTTCATCCACATGAGCATATGTACCTCCAGAGAGCTCATAGATATTGTTGACCCTGTCTCACTCCTAGAAAGCCCCGTGGATTCCTCCATTTCAGCGAGGAAGTTCTTAACAGCCGTGCGAGGTTCAAAGGGCAGGTTTTGCATCTGCTCTGGAGCGCTCGGATACTGCTGCTCCAGGTTCACATTCATGTGGTCCATGCCTGACGGGTTGATATTGAAGTCAGGGCTCATCTTGTAATGCATTAGCCTCTCGTGTGGCAGTGTATCCATAGTGATGTTCATCTTGGTGTCGTCTTTCAGGAGGGTGGGCACGTTACCCGACCCCGACACGGCTGCGGAGGCACGGGGCATGACTATGTAGTCTGTCTCCATCATCTGACTCTGCATGGGATGGCCCTCCTTGTCGTGGACGCCCATGTCTTGGTCGCTCTGGCGCAGGGCGTCGTCGGTGCAAAGGTAAACGGTGCGGCGAATGTCGGCGGTGGTGTCCACCATGCACTGCTCTTTCAGCTCGCCCATTCCCATCGGCATGTGCAGAGCGGAAGGCTGCTGGATAATCACTTTGGAGATGATGTTGCCAGGCAGTGTGGAGTAGTTGAGGCCCTCGGGGGCCTTCTCGTCCTCCTCATCATTGAGGGAAATGCGGGAGAGGGTGCCTGTTATGGTGGCGGCGCGACAAGAGCCCATGTCTTTGTGGAGTGCTGCGGGGCAGGGTGATACAAGGATTAGTTGGAATTTCTCAGTAATGGGTGTCAGACTCTGTTTTATATTTTTCAGCATGTGACTGAAAGAACAAGGGGATTCAAATCAATGCGAAAGAACTCTCGGCGGAATATGCAGTACAGAGGGAATAAAGTACGGGATAAATAACTGTGAATATGCACCGAGTGTGACATCACGCCCAAATACAAAGGGACACAACAGCAGACACTGCTGTCTCTCGAGGATATTACTGTAAATGGGCTCATATAGTTTCATCCATCCCTGAAACTCCCTCCGCCATTCAGAGTACAGCATTTCACATCCTAATCCAAACTTAGTAATCGCTTGTGAACTTGTCCTGTGAAAAATATTCTACCAAGGAGCAGATATCTATTCCAAAATACCCTCTGGTTATAGGAAACACTGAATCCTCCCCTGTGTGTATTTTAATCTTTGCCTAGGAATTATATTATCTGCTCACAAAAGGCCTGCAAGGACATTACAAGAATAGCAAACAAGCGCAATACTCCCCTCTCTGTTCGAGGCTAATTTAATGCTCAGTGTGGACATGGGGAAAACAGTGTGGTATTCGCTCTGAAGAAGTCCTTTGATCTAAGTTTACCCTGTGTTCTGTAGTGTGACGCTGCAGAATATTACTTCTGCTGCTGACAATAACCCAAGCTTGTAAACAACCAGCTTTAACACCGTGAGCCCGCAGAGTGGTCCGTTAAGTGCATTTCTCTCAGACTGCAGCTCCACTTCGGTCCATATCAGGTCATAATTTATAAATGACACCTGTCTTTTCTTCCTTTTTGTATCAGGTATGCCCACTTTAGCTTTAGACGAGCACAGAATGAAGTAGGGCAGGCCAGAAGAGCCAGGGAGCCCCTTTTTGTTACTTAACAAGTGCCGTTTCAGAGAGCTCTGAATAATGGCCAGCTTGGTTGCTCCCTCCACATTTAGGATGTGGAAGGGAGTGGGAAAAGGAGAGGTTTCAAGCCTGTGCAGGTTTCTAACGCGAGATAACTTGCACAGTCTCTTTTATTCTCCTCAGTTTTATTAAATCATAAAACTACTGTGGCCCAAAAATACAAAAGAGCGCGACAGAGGAATCAGAAAACATTGTATCTCCCCAGTGAGATAACTTAGAAAGAAAATCCTCCCACAATTAGACACGAAGGACCTACGTACCTATCCTTAGATGGTATCACGACGTTAATGAAAAGACATAATTGCAAATGGAACTGCCGAAAGATGAGGAAAGCTGCCGCTATTTCAATTTACTGCAGTTATCTATTACAGTGACGCTGGAAATTACAGTGAAAACTCCAACAGCTCTCTTTATACTGTTTTGTTCTCAGATTAAAGTCAGTGTTTTTGTAACTGTGAAAAAACTCCTGTGGGGATTGTTGGTTGTTATATAACCTGAGCTATTTTTTACTGTCTAACCTCTTTGTTTTTTTGTTTTTTTCAACATGCAAGCCAAGAGGAATCTAGTTAATCAGAGAGTGTGTGTTCTTTACCTGATCGGCAGGCGATGTCCACATCCTTCTCAAAGTCCGTCTGTAAGTGAAGGACAGTGAAATGTTCAATATTTCTAAAAATAAAAAGCATATTTTAAAAAAGAAACCAGCTACAAAAGTGAGATCAATGCTATTCTATTGTTATGATACATGAAAAGAATCCCAATAATATTTCAGCAAAATGTGTGTGGCTGAAAAAAAAAAATTGGCTGCAGCAGCTGGGGAGCATTTTGTGCTTGCTGCTAATGATCGCATTGAATGAGAGGGCCTGACACCATTCTGCTATTGTGAAAACTGTTTCACTCTGGATGGTATTACAATACTAATGGCAGATCGTTGCTTCAATGTGCCGGTGGCATCGTCATGCTAGATGAAGAGACTGGCGTCCCAGTCAAAGGTCATAGAGGGAACAGTCCTCTATTACCCAGTGAGAGGAAATGAGAGGGATGGATGGCAAATATGGCCAGTAAGTTCAATCAAATAGAAATAAAAGACTGAGCTCAGGGGCTAAGAAGACCAAAGGAAACTAATACCATTTATCAAGGGGCCAAGTGTCTTCACCGCATATAATCTGAGCTTTATAAAAGCACACCATGCAAAATTATTAACCTATAGAAAACAATGCCTCACGGTGTAGAGGTCATAGAAACCTAAAAAAAAAATAGGATAGTGATAAAAGACAAATTAAGGTTAGTAGAGAACAAAGGGGTGTGCCCATGTATTATAAATAACCAGGGAACATTGCTCAAATTACAGAGGATCTAACGGCTGCAGATAACAGCGGGGTAACTGTGCCTACCATTATCTGAGCATGCCCATTAGGGAAAGTTCCTGTTGCATCACCGCTGATTGGATCTTGGCAGTTTCTGAGCCGACATCTAAAAGCATCCTGGACCTATGCACAAGAGGGAATAAGTGTTAGGGAATATGTTAACAATACAGCTTATTATGTCTGTGATATCCTTTAAACATTTCTTTTTAAATATGCAAAATCCTACAGGGAAAGAACTGTTGCTTTAGGCTGTTAGTGAGTTTAGGATTCGAAAGCAATTAATAGTTAATAGCATTTGCAGGAGCATAATCTGCTGACATACAGGCAGTTAAAAGAGATCACAGGTGAAGAGGGGGAGGAAATGAAATCATCCTCTACCTCTCTCCGTAGGATACAGTGCACCATCACAATGACAAAACCCTGCAGCGAGTCAAAGACAGCAAAGAGGATCTGAAAGAGGATGGAGCGCTTGTCCGTTATGGCAAGTACCGCAGACATCCAGGTCAAAGCCAGCAGAGGCAGCACGACACAGGAACTCCACAAGGACGCCCTGAGAGAAAAGAAGGAGCACCGTGTAGAAGAAATAAAGGCAGGCAAACTGGTGGTGATATATACAGTCTACAGTGCTGACTAAAATCTCAAATCTCAACCGTTTCAACACTGAAACGTAAATTTGCATTGCAGTGGGCAGCGAGATGATCAGAACTGCAGAGGTGGACATGCTGTACATACAGAGACTCCCCGCAGCACCGCCTTATTGATTCACAGACACTGACAGGCACTTACATTGCATTGCTAGCTGTAGTTGCTGATAAAGCAGTTGTTGATACAACGCCACATTTGGCACACTTGAGAGTTAATCCTGTATGCGGCTCACTCATCTGTCTGTGGGACATAGAGACAACATCATGACAAACAACGCTGAGAGCCACTAACTCCACTTTAAAATCTCCCACCGTCATATTATCTACAACAGAAGCAGCCAATGTGTGGGCGTGTGTGTGTGGTTTTTTCATCTTGGACTGATTCTGCCAAAGAAATACGAAACCATGTCGCTCCCGAGAGAGATCTGACCTCTTTATGTTTATGCCTGTAATTTCCTTTCAATGGCAGAAAAAAGGAGGTCTAAATCTCCATATGTACAACAACTCAAAGCACACTGTATGTATATTTTTGCATGATTTTAAGAGAAGAAAAGAAAAAGCAGGTACTAACAAGGATGTGCTGTCATACCCTGCTCGGTGCTTCAGCTTCTTGTCCAGTATACCATCTCTGGACACTAGTTTGTTAAACACCAAAATGCCAATCACCATGTTGACCTGTCACGAGAAAGGAGAACAGGAATATTTGTTTTCAATAAATCATCCACAACGAGAGGATTTTAAGAGCAATGTTTTTAATTTCCCAGCATGACATTCTCCTTAAGTAGCCAATGGTTAGTGTCATTTTCCATCTGCATTAACTTTGACCTGTAGCTTCTATTATTTGCTCTTCTCTGTGACATTTCAGCCAATGGAAGAGACATGCCCCGCACACTCAGCCCCGGCACAACAGCCTTAAGAAAGGATCTGCCTGACAAGAAGCACTCGTCTCCTCAAAGGCACCTTCTCCTATTATTAGCAGAGAAGTGAGGGAGCTTTACACTCGCTGGCTGGACCATTGTTTAAAACAGTGCACTGTAGTCTATTTAAAATCCCCCATAACTGTGAGAAGAACTCATTAAGTATTTATGCAAATACATTCGGGGAAGTTTTTATCCAACAAGCTCTGTTACTGTGAGACATCTGACTATTGATATAGTGATAACAGCAGCACGGTGTGGCGTGCATTCTCACTGCAGATGGTTGTTTCTGCTTTTTTTTTTTGTTTTGTTTTTTTGCAGAGATTAGCTTGTGTTCCTCTGAGATTCGCTGCAAATAATAACCACGGAGCAGCGAGACTTCCGAGTCTTTGCGCTCAAACAAGAGGTTTAGTCACTTAAAAAATACATATATCTGAAATCGCTTCATTTCAAATCCCAGCAGAGAACAGGAATTTGACAGTGAACAATATTATTACACATTCCGAGTCGTCCGTCCCTCTGACACAGACTTAGTGATTTGCATAATCACATTCTTTGTGTAATTTTCTCTGTACAGCTATGTAAATACAAAATGATTAAAATACCCCAGTATATTAGATTTTGGACAAATCTAATGCATAAATACTTAATAACCTCACAGCTTCATGGAGGGCCATTATGGTAAATGAAAGGGGGTTACCCGAGCACATTGCCTGATGGGACGCTCATTACTTTGACTTTGAAACCACAGTTGGTTCCTCAAGTCAAACATTTTCAAAGCATCATTTTTTGTGTCGGGTTTCAGCACAGCACAGTTGTACCATATTCACACCATACCACCGCTAGAATCGCGTGGCTCGTGTGAGTGCTGGTCTTTGAGTGCAACCAGAACAATTCACAAGCACTGCAAAGTCATGTTTATTGAAGAATTTGTTGCTGCTAGTGCTGGCAGTTTTTCCTTTAATGTACATTTCCTTTACATTACATTATACAGAAAAGCAAAAAAAACCCAACCCCAACAAAACAAAAAACAGACAGTGGTGGCTGAGACATACCAGAACAACAGCAGCTGCAGGTCCAACAAAGGCGTACAGGAGCCCGCCCTCCAAAGACAGCCAACAGCTGCAGGAAATGCAGAGGAAAAAACACAGTTAACTCCCACTAAGGCATTAACATCCAAGTTAATGGTGCACACCAGCATACAGTTGTGTTTTCCACAATTGTCAGGGGAGAAGTGCCATATGTTGTAACTCCATATCCAAAGTTTCACGGGGTAATAAGATTCTAAAGAGATTTTAAGCAGTGTTTATGCATTTGGTATCCAGCAGGGATACAACTCACATAGAATTGGGGTCTTGCTGTGCTATTTTGAAATTTGATTGGCTTCTTGGGACTTTGTTTATGATACTATTTAGGATAACTAAGCCACTGCAGACGCGTGCAATCATTACCCTTAGATTTTATAGACGAACCTACGATGTGCCCACTGAATACTAAACACAGTTAGAAAGAGAGGAAAAGAAACTTACTATAAGGGTGTCCCATAGCCCTTTGTTTTGGTAAATCCCATCGAAACCGCAACAACTAAAGCTGGTAATCCTTCAAAGGAGAAAACAATCAATAGTTATTTGAGCAGTTCTAGTAGCTTGTTAGAGCTGAGAGCATAAACCCACTTCAAGGGAGAAGAAGTCAACTGTGCCTTCCAGTCATTAAGGAAAGTGCAACCCAATTGATTTCATTAGAAGCCACAGTATGAGACTATACAGACATCTGAGAGTATATGATCAAGTATGGGCAATTCAATTTATTTCTTTAAGTGGCAGAAAAGAACAGACTGTACGCGGCTTCGACAAAAGGGCAGCAGTGCATCATGTCCAGAAATTTCATCACTGTACTGTACAACACGTCTCCACCTTCCACACCTTTTACAAGAAGGGATTTGGCTGTACGTCTCCTCATTATAGATTGGTGTAATTGATTCGGTTCTTGCTACTATGTACTTGGAATATTAACACTATCCCTCTCCAAGCAGCGCAAGCAGGTGCTATTGATGTAATCAGTTTCCTGGAGGCACGATTCGAATACCCCGTTGCCATCCAGTGCTTCTCTGCAGTGCCGGAGAGGTATAGAGTGCTGGGTGTTCGCAAGCATGTCGTAAATCACAGCGCAGGCAACAATCTGGTGGAGACACTGCGCTTCAAACAGGTGAATTAAGAGACCACAGGCACTCTGTGCTGCTTGTCTCTTTTAGATCAGTGTTTTGTTTGAATAAGGTCGTAATCTGTAGAGGATTAAAGAATTATGTTCTTGTTGTGGCATGGGTAAACGAATAGAGTAATCTGTACTGCAATGCAACATCACTGTGGGACGACACAATCTCATTTATTTGTCAAAATGTATATTAGTACTTTTTTAGAAATCTGTGTGATTGCAGAACAGGCTTTGTCCATTTTTTTTGCAAGCCATGGCACTGCAATGACTAAGAGAGCCTTGTTTGTTGCTAGGTAACAAGAAGAATGAGTGTGGGCTCTTTCATAATCAAATTGATTTTTTTTTTTTTTTAGGAGAGATTTTTGTAAGAAAAGGCTGTTTGGACAGGGATTGATACTGGCAGTTATCAAATGAAGGGAAATCTTGTAGGTTTTGATGCCGCGTGTATTTATTGATATTTGTATGGTGCTTATGATTAAAATCGGTAAAGAAAGATGATACATATGCTGTACTAGTTGCATTCAGTGCATTTTGCCTCTGCAAACATTTCCTTCTTCTAAACTGTACATCAGAGGGTTTCAGATGAAATGTATTCTGCTGCAGTGTGAATGCCTGGCTCAGACCCTCTTTATCAGACATAAGGTCATTGTAACCTGCAATTGAAGAGCCGCTCCAGTCTGTCCTTCCCCCCCACACTGCTCATGACTGGTCCATTTACCCAGCCCTTAGAGAGCTTGACTGGAAAAAGCATCACAACAAAAGCGCCTGACAGGATGAGGATCTAGCAGCCCCACGGAGAGGATGAATAGGAAAAGACGGTGCAGTTACTTGGAAAGACACCGCGGCCAGAGATATTGTGAGAAAATGGCAGCTGCTGGGATGATGGGAGATAATGGAGAGGTTTAGAGAAACATGCTGCTTTACTTACCCCAACCCAGACACAGAAAGCGCTTACGGATGAGCCTGGTCCGAACCTTTCCTGTCACTGCCATGTAGGACTGCCAGGCCTCTGTTAGGACCCAGCAGAACGACGCCAGGAAGAAGAAGTGCAGGAAGGCTGTTGTCATGATGCAGACGCTCTATTGGATGGAGAACAAAACATGTCAGACAGAGGCAGAGCTTCATATTTAAAAGAAATGCAGTTTACTAACAGCTAATAAATATAGATTCCTTTGAAGCAACAGGCTTCCTACGGAGATGCATCAATTCTATTGATAATCCCTCATTTCCTTGAATCATTCCGGCCATACGAACAACACAGACCATCCATTAGTATCCTGTGCAGCTCAGGGAAAGTCTGCCTTGCACCAACAGAGTCAGCGATAGTAGTTTAGATCAAAGCCAGTCTAGCCAACACAAAAAAACACAGCGTAGCATTCCTCCACACTAAACCTCATTAGTATGCAGACGATCCAACCTGGAGCCATGTGAACCAAGGTCAACTGTTTTACACAGACAGAAGGGGCAACAAACCCACAACACTGCTTAAACGTTAGAGAACGCATGTGTCGGAGGCAGCACATTGGATTGATGCCACTTTTCATCTTCATTAGTTTGTCCATCTTTGTCCCACGCTCCAAATGGGATCGTTTAGAAGAGGATTAGAAATGAAGAAGTATCCTTGAGAATCTTGTCATTACATGCTGACATTTGTGAGCGAGAAGAGATTAAGCTTTTTTTCTTTTTGCTCAGATTGTTTGCACTGTGAAGATTTGGTAAACTGAGTAATACTGTACAAAGACGCAAAAGATTGAAGTGCATCATCTCGTCCGGGGGAGTATACACCATGCTGTGAGATCTCCCATACACTTTTTCATCCCCACTGTGAAAGGCGCACTAAATCCATCTATCCCCTGTAGTGCTCACGGGGTTTATGCGAGACAATAATCCTGCATTACCTTATTCCCGGGAAGTGGGAAATTCTGTTAAACGACACCCACGAGGGATATTAATTACATAAATGTGCATTCAAGTGGAAAATTCATGTAGGATGCATTCAGGTGCAGTATGTATTTGTCATTTTCTTAGATACTTAAATGCTTTTGGATATTTTTTTAATTCAGCAGTCACTGTGGATTAAGGAAGTTAAAGGAATTTCATTACTGGTTGCAAAGAAGAGCTGCTGGTAAAATAATGCTTTGCTAATGTAGCAAAATAATCCAAAGCACCGAAGTAGAATATTAGTCAGTTTTGGCAGGTTCCAACTGTTAAATAATCAGCAGTGTGTTCATTTACACATTTCATTAAGTGCAAAAATGTCAGCCTAAATGTACCTGCAAGTGTGACAATCATTTCTGGAAACTTTTGCTTTTTCCACAGAGTCTAACTGGAAACAAAGCAATCCAACTGCAACTTTAAAAGCTTCAAAATCCGTAAACACGTATAGTATTTATGTTACTATAAATGGTGAAGGAAAACTATTTTGTTTTTGTGAGGTTTAGGTGGATTCAATACACTTGTGGCTAATGCTGCAGACGGTAGTATCGAAGCAACAGGGAAAAAAAAGAAAGAAGAAAGAAACCCACAACAATCATAACACATCACACTCCCATGACGCATTGCCACCTGCTCGTGTGGTAATTACAGGTGCCGTTTTAGAAATCACAAACATGCTGCGCTATAAATCTTTGATAAACTGAGATTAAGAAAAGGCATGTATGTGGGAGTCTGCCCACTTTTGACAAATTCTGACCTTTCAATATGGATTTTTTAAAATTTAGTAACCTATATCCACATGTTAGCATGCACTGTGATTGTTACTGGCAGTGATCATTACTGGATGGAGTACGTGACCAAAAAAACCTCCAGCAATTTCACATCCTGATTTTGTGAAGGAGACAAAAGGGAAATGGGAAACCATACAGTAGCTAGACAGCTTGTAGACTTGCACCCAAAGCTAATTCTAGCGTTGCTGTTGCTCATGTGCTGTCCAAGGTGCTGAAAATAGAGCCTGCCTTGTTTCCTGGAAACGGGTCATATGCAACCACTATGCTTCATGGTTCACTTGGATGCCTGTGCCGTCCAGCCTCATTAGTCCTCCAAAATGAAAGCTGTGCATTTGAAGAGAGAGGAAGCCACACTATGAGGATATTACGATGGCATCGGTTGAAGGAAGGCAGCTATACAGAAACGAGGCTGAAACCCAGAGTTCACGTTGCCCTTTAAAAAGGCAAATGCTCTGAGATGCTGAGTACACTGTGTCGGTATCCATGGAAACAGAGGAACCGAGGAAGGGACCAACATTAAAACATCGCAGAGCTAATAGACGCTGAGGTAAGGGTAGGTGGTGATGGGGTATGCTTCAAGCCTGTTCAGCAGTGACAGTTTAAGATGAGGACAGGACATTTGAAGAATTAATGTGTCCTGCCTAAACTCTGACTAAAAGGTCTCTGACACTTCTACCTTCAAAGCCACAAAGTAAAAAAGAGCAGTGACATATTATTCATACATAACTTTCTATTATGTTATTACTTGTTCACACTACTGTTGCTGATGAAATTGTTTTCAGGGTCCAATTAATATTCAATATTTGGTTATTTCCATTATTTATAGGTTCATTAACTGGTTTTATGAGAATACTCAAAGTCATACACTGTCAGGTTAAAACTCTAAATTTTAATGAAACCTGAAGAAATAGATTACTCACTGTGTTTTCGCAGCAGAGACCTACAACATTATTTAAAATGCTGTAGAACAATCTGAACTGGACTATATAACATTGCTTTTATCTTCCCAACTGTACTGAATCACTGTAGGAGGAGGAGGCTGGTGGTTATTTTGACTGAAGCACCCTCCTTCTGAATCAAGCAGCAAGCGCCCCAGTGCGTTACACAGTGGGTGCTTGGGTGGAGGACGTTAAAAAACTCCAAACAACAAAAGTGGTAGTGGCAAAGAGTTGTTGAACCGCAGAGGAACGCTGAAAAAAATGTATTGACTTTGCCACTACAGCCAGAAAATGGCTACTTCTACTTCCTGGTCTGTGGATGTGCCTCACATGAACCTGAAGTGAACTCATCCCGATAACAATTCTACTTCTGCCTACTTTATCTCAATATATAACACTCCCAAGGCTCTAAACAGTACATCCAGTTATTCTCTCCAACATAATCAGAGGATTCCTGCCAAGTATGTAGGAATGAGCAGCATGTTGATTTAGTCACTTTCTACTCTGTGTGACATCAATTTAGTTAAAGTGAAACCTTAAACTGGATTGAAGAGGATGAACCAAATCCCACTTCCGTGCACCTCATCCTAAGGAGATGAAGCCTGTAGTGTGCTGAAACTATGTGCTATTGTGTGTTGCAGTTATTGTATGTCGAATATTTGGTGCATGGACCCTTGATTATGTTTAATAAACGATGACTAAGTGCATATATTATGCATGTTTTAATGGTAGTAAATGGCAAAAAAGCTTCATTCTTCCAATTCCATTATTTTTAACTACTCTGTCAAAATAATGCTGCACATCTCAGGGATCTATCTGTTTATCCTGTCTACTTCAAACTTGACGTGCACTGCTGAGGATCCGAGTAAGTGCAGTGTTGAATTTAAGGTCATTTGGATGAGGAATAATGTGAGTTTGAATGGTTGTCTGCCTCTATGAGTTGGTCCTGTGATGGTGACTTATCTGAAATGTACTCTGCCTCTCGCCCTATGATGGCTGAGTTAGGCTTCTGCCCCCTGTGACCCTGATAAGGATAAATGGAAGAGAATGGATGGATGAGGGGTGGTCTCATTTCATGGTTTCCTTCATGTTGCTGCACAGAAAGAGTAAAAGTACAGTGATAATGTGTGCCTGTCACCATTCTTGACCTCACTGTCACGCTCCTGTTAGCGTCAGTGTTGGCGTCAGTTCACGCAACACAAAGAAAGATTCTAAACAAAGTGCTGCTTTCTCAGCGATGCTGTTTATGATGAGGTGCTGACAACGTGAAATCAGCCCCCGAGAAACCACAACAGTATCCTCAGAGTGCCTTTAGATCAGCGGCAAAGACTACCGACTGTCATCGGCTTTGAATCTCCTGGTTACTGTTGCTATGCAGCACTGATGATGTCACACTGACTTTTATGATCTGTATTCAGGATCATGTAATGTTGCCTGGTAACAGCGGCGACTTAGGCTTTGTATTAACAGGGGACAGTCATTGTGGCAATTTCCAGTCCTGAACCCTAAACATATGTTTCCATCTCAGGTGAAGGAGCACAAGCCTACAAGTGATTTTCACAGGAATCCGGTCACATGAAGCTACAGACTGACACCTGACACTTGTCGCTGCGTGATGGGCCACAAATCAGAGATTGTGGCTTGTGAGGCCTTGTGAGGCCTTCATCATCAAATGCTGAAGATGAATCATCAACATTCAATGCTTTCATGCATGCAGACTCACATAAGTGCATTGGTAACATTAACTAATGCTTGATAAACACCTTAAAGGAAGCATCAAGGTAGATGACCATCTTTAACTGTATTCCTTTTAAGTGGTGTCAACATTTCTCAAAGGGCTGTACACACATTAAGAGACAAGCAATAATATGGCAAAAAGCAAATGTGGATTGCAATAAAACTCAGCAAATTGAAGACATGAAAGGAAATAATTGCTATTGATGTAAAGTGACCATGAACCAAGTTACAGTAACTTCAACTCTGAGGTAAGTAACAATCAATGGGTGCGAAGAATAAGTTGACTGGCACACTGCAAGGTGAGCAATATACAAAAGCAGGGTGACATAAGGACTGTGAGCCTTAAATGGCTACTAATGACCAGTGGGTGATGAGTGAATCACTTCATGGAGGGTTGACTTTAACCCTAAATCACAGAGCACTAATTCAGTGTGGAGCCCAACTAAGTTGCTGCTGTTGCTAAGCAGCATCAATAAAGGACTATAACCACCATTAAAAAAACAAAAAATCTCTGTCTGGCTCTTCATCATTACAACCATCTTTACAATCCACCTGAAACTTTCAGAGGACATGCAATGGCCATTTCATATCAAAATCTGTCACCTATCCGATATCTATATGTAAGGAAAACCTCCCTAACTCTGCTGAAATGCCTCTGACTTGCCTGTGACAGTGGGAATAGGCAGTAGGAGTTTAGAAAAAAATCCCCTCTCAAAGCAAACATCAAATAAGCCAGGCAAGCATCTGCAATGCTGTCGCAGATCAAAGTGTATAAACACTGTAATGTCACAAAGGGAGTGACTGCCAGCAATTCACTTGTGATAACTTGTAACATCAGGAGGTTTAAAATGAAGATAAAGCTATAAACTGGTTCTCATTTCAGAAGACTTATGACACCTTGACCCCATCTGCCTTATGTATTTCATAGTAAGAGCATTTTAGTGGAACGGCCTCTCTAGCTCCAAGACTCTCTAATTGCATCTTCCCAGGCAAAGCCAACAGCTCCTGCTTGTCTTTGTTTGTCTTTCTATAAACCAGGATCAACAGAAACAGAGGACAAAGGAAAAGCATACACAGGCAAAGGTGATTCACTGTCTTCCTGCTCCCAGAGGACACCTCCATAGCAAAAAGATGATTTCTATTAGATGATGAGCAACTCGGAATCCACAAACAGTGGAGCCAATTATGTGCACTTCTTACAGGAGATGGAGGAAAAACAAGTGAGGCTGTGTCAGGCAGCATGGCAATTAAACCCACACAGGGACTGTTTTCTCCTCTTGGTGGCCTATCACTCAAACACCGGCTTCTACAGAGTGTCTGATCAAACAGATGAGCATTTTCTCAAATATTGTTACAACAGAGTGTTCAATACAGAGCAAAGGGACACTAGTAATAATTGCATTGTTTGGGAAGTTTTATCTACAGCGCAGCTGCACTTGAATAAATACATTTTACTACTCTTGACGACAGTACTCAGCTAGCTGAGTTTTGAGGTCCCCAATTAAATCTAGTTTTGGTTCTCGAGGCCATGGTAAATAAGCACATTTGTGCTTTTTGTGTGCTTGCTTTAGAAGTAAAGATAATTTAACCTTGGATTTTTTTCCTGATTCTCTTGCTCATGAAGACCAGACAAAAACAATGACGGCAATAACTTAATTAGTTTTTTGTTTATGCACAGAAGCCACAACAGCAGTTTGATAATAGTGTGCTTGGCTCAAAATTCTAAATCTGCTAATGTAAGAATGAGGCAAAATCTGCAAGTAATGAATCTTTGGGTGGTTTTTCTAGTCACTTACTGAAAGCAGAATCTATAGTTTAGCTCAGCAGCCACTTGCTTCTGCTTTATACAAAAACACCTGTTTACTAATGGAGAAAACAGATCATAAAAACTGAACCAGACAAAACAATAAGTTTAAAGCTGCTGAAAATTTCAGTGAAACTAAGAGGAATTTCAAAGCCAGGTTACAATTCTGTGGGTTCAATTACACCAACAACCTTGATCCAGATTTGTGTAGCTTCAAAGTTCAGTATTAATAACAGTGTTGGTCCGTTCCAAACAAATCTGTCAGCGCTGCTTATTTTGATCCCCGTGAGTCTGACAAGGTAGCTTGTTGAGTCAGTCTAACAGATGCTGAAATTACATCTTCAGTATGTCAGTGGATTTTCGGGGGGGAAAAACACCTAATCTCTTTACAGATTTCATAGACAGACATCCTATTAGAGGCGAGCCGAGTGAGTATTCCATGTTAAGTGGTGGTCCTTACAATCAAGACAGGAGATGGCTGAAGCCCTGATTAAATCTGACAGGGCTTCAAATCAGCTCAGCTTTAAAAAATGCCCTGAAGCTTTGTGGATTCAGCATCTTGGCTACTACAGTGTGCCAGAGATGCGAGGGCCAGCAGGGACACAGATGAACTTGTTATGTGCGGATGCTGTTTTTGTTATTTTACGAGACTGTTTGTAATGAACCAGCTCGGGTTCGCGTCACGATGCTAACAACTAGCACATTTTTGTCCATAATTTATCTTGTTGATTCTTATTAGATTAGTTTCCTTATTCATTTGTTGTCCATGTTTCCATTTTCGATGAACTCGGGAAAATTAACAAGCAGTATTTTGATTTATGAGTAGTAAGAACCACTAGTTGGCCCATCTGGTCCTAAAGTACTAGAAGGTAAGAGTGGCAAGTCAGTACTCGTGTTATACAGCACCAGCAATACTTCTAATGACAAAAGACCCCCTAACTCTTTTGACACATTTCTTTCATTTTTACAAGCATTTTAAAGGGATTTTTGTCTGTGATTTAGATTCTAAAATCTTTGACTGCTGCGATATGAGAATATCCAGATGTGCCTTATTAATGAGCTGAAAAAACAAAACAAACAAACAAACAAACAAAAACAAAATGGAAGCGAATACGAGAAACACTGAGGAATAATGAGATGAGGGACAAAAAGCCATGTGTGTCTCGCAAAAGGTAAAGATATACCGAGAAAGTGGTTACACAATAAAATGCCTGTAATCAGACAATGTGTCACACTGTAGTGCTGCCAAATGACCGAGAAGGGCATCTGTGTGGGCAGCTTGTAAATCCTAACTACTTTTTTGCCAAACAATCTTTTACATTAGCTACTTGTTCGCTGGCCAGTGACAAAGCAGGAGGAAGGAAACGACGCATTTTACTGGAAGCGCTTCTCCAGCAGCAGCTGGGTTTTCGAATCCTGCCGTGACTTGATCAGAAATTCAGCTCTTGTTGATATCTGAAGAAAAAAAAAATGATTTGCTATCTCTCCGCGATGCTTTTGAGTCACTGCAGCAATGCCAAATCCACATTCAGTCTTAGCAGGACAGAATGCTAATTTCCTGCGTTTGACCCATGCACCATGTGTGCTGGTGTGCAAAATGTCTGCCTTTCTGCTCTTACACTACTTGCTGCCAACCTATCTTGACTTTTTAAGGAACTCTATAATATATAGAAGGTCCCGACAGTCTTTTATGTTAATTCTTTTATTGCTTTGCACTTTTAACTGTGTCTGAATATCACTGTAGTTTCAGTGCCAACAGATTGGGGGTTGTCTCAAGTTTCACCAGAGTAATATGTATGGTCCTAAGCCAAGGCAGAGTAGGTCTGCATTTTAAGGAGGCATTAGACACACATTATTTTCCATTTGGAATGAATATAAAAGGCTTCTGTGAGACCTAAAAGAAAACGAGTAATTTACTTGAACACAGCAAAATGCTAACTACTAGATTCTTTAAAAAAGATATTCTTTAAAGAAATCTGGAGTTCAAAAGGTGCTATTTTGAAGATAAGAGTTGGCAGATGAAGAATGGGACTGATTATTGATTCAAATCTCTGCCTTAAAGATGAGCAAATTTGACTAACACTTCTCCAGCTGACTGGGAACAGGTGAATATGATGGAGCATTTGTAGCATATCTTTTCATCCTCAATACCTCATTACATTCTACATGATAATATGCACAGCTCTGCATAATTCTGCATGGTAAACTATTACCTGTTGAGCTCAAAGAAATGCCAGAATGAAAATTAAGAAGGCTGAGCTGTGTTAAAGCTGGTGTAGGTGAGCGTGGTGTCATTTGGATCTTTCTAACCCATGCACCTCCACACTTTGGAATCTGTGCCCAATAAATCCTTAAATTGCACTTACCACATTGTGGGTCTGTGTTTGCCCAACAAGGATCAATATGTTTGAGCAGACTATAGATAAGCAGAAGTTGAGCAGGATGATGGATCGCTCAGAGCGGATATATCTAAAAAAAACAAGGGAAGAGAATTAACCAGACTTTAAGTTTTACCAGAACTTTCACCAGATTATGAAACATCACATAACAACTGAGAATTATTATTATTGTTTGGTTGAAATGTATGCACTTAAAGCGTTGCAGTTACCGCCATAGCACTGCGTAGATCACTGCCAATGTGATCAAGGCGAGGCAAGACAAGCCACAGCCAACTATCAATGTCACAGATGGGACCCCTGAGTACTCCATGGTCTGTAGGGATGACAGAGCAAGACGAACCAGTCAGTGGGAGGCTGGATGTGGTTCATGCAGGACAGTAAATCTTTATTATTGGCCAGAGAGGGAAGCAATCAAAACAACCACCACCAACAATATGAATAATCCACAGTGCGACTTAATTTACATTGAGGTTTTAGTTGCATGTGTGGGCTTGAAGCTTGTTTAGATACTTGCATAAAACTTTCCAGGAGATCATGTTGCAGGAGAATAAACAGTGGAAGTAATTATAACCAATGTTTTTGTTTTATGCTGTGTTTTCTCAGTCACACTTGGAAGTCAAGGAGGCTGGCCAATCGCGGGCCAGCCACTGAGGCTTCCTTCACATACACTAATGCGGTTTCCCATATTATAAACCATATTCAGTAAATCAAAGCTAGACAAAATAAGCACTTTGCTGCAAGAAAAATGATGCTGTATGATTTAGGCCTGACAGAGAGGAAGGCCACAGTGTAAGTACTGCATGTTCTCAGATTTAATTACTTTATCTTTTCAGGAAATTACAGGCTCCTGCTTCCTTTACCCCAGTCTAATTGCAACACACAATTGTGCTCAAAACACAATTTAAAGATCTCACCTGCAAGAATTTGTCAGCTTTTTTTGTGGACAGGTCAGTAAAGAAAACAGCACCCAAAAAAGGTGAACTTTATCTTTATCTCTTCCCTAACATGACTGATGAGGAGACACTTAAAGACAAGCACCAGCACGCACACACCCTCCCCCTCTGCATGCCCATACACAATCTATCTATCTAAGTCTATGCCCAAACTAGAAAATACTCCCCCCCACAATCTCCCCTTTACCACTGTATTACTATTTAACAGGATTAGCACACACGAAGATTCAATTTTCATTCTCACCAGCACACACACAGACACACACACATACACACACGAACAGGGAGCCTTTCTCCTTTACATGAGCTCATGAAACCCACATCGAATAGCAAATCAATAGCCTACTTACTATTTCTCTTGGTTGCTGAGCCAAAATGGCGAAGGTAGATACACGATCACATAAGCATTTTGTATGGGATGCATCTGTAAGCACCGTTTTACATCCTTTTGTGGACCAGGCTCCCCAAGAATCGTTCCTGCAAGGAGGAGGCAGAGGCAATTAGAGGTTTAATTCCAGCGGTGACACGACTTCACAGGACTTCTCGACATCGCTTCGGCGTTTTTATTTAATTATTACTAATATGACTCGAGAGCTGGAGAGATTGTTTCATAGAGAGAAATAAGAAGAAAAAAAGCGAACAGACTAATCGACACGGCTCTGGTGTGGCTACGAGCAGCATTTCAGCTGGAGCAGATAGAGAGGCAGAGACGGAGGAGGGGGAGGACGCACGGAGCTGTCCAAGCAGACCGGTGCTGATTGATTCGCTATACGCAGATAAATACCAACGAGTCGAGTGATACAGAAAACAGCGTTATTTCCTCTTCACGCACAAGTTAAAAGCCTTTATATTTACCTGTTTGCCTCTCTGCGTGCTTTATATTCTTCTAGAGATCTTTTCCAAACGACTATAATCCTCTTCCCCCCCCCCGGTTATCCTGTCCTTTTTTACCCCCCCCACTTTCGGCTGATTTTTCCCCCCCTCAGCTGTTTTAATTAGCAGCTTTTGAATGCTTCCTTAGGGGGATTTTCACCCTGGAAACGGTGGACAGCATCAGATTGATACTCTGTTCCTCTCTGCTGGTGTGAGGGGGGGAGGCAGATGCAGTGAAAAAATAAACGCACGCCGTCGCAAGGTTTGCTTATTCGGCTTCGAGTCTAGTGATATGACGGGAATAAAGGATGCTTTTGGGTCATTCCTGAAAGTCATTTTACACGAAAGTTGTCGCTCCCCGGCGTGAAGCGCTCCCCTAAAAAAACACCGCAGAACTAATACCACCCCGCGGAGGCAGCGCAAATGGTTGCAGCCAGTCCCCACTTCACACCACTAGTAGGTGAAATGAAAGGAGCGTCTCTCTTCCATTTGTCATTCACCCCCGACTCATTTTGTGCCTTCAGAAATACCATCCTTGCTGATTAAATATCACCGAGGCTTTATTCTGAACACAGCCTTTGCCGCAACACCCAACCTGACTTTTAGCTTCGTGCCGTCACTAGCAAACACCTGTTGTCCTGCAAGGCGCTCTGCTCACCCTACTACTAATTTTATAAAGCCAAGAAGAAGAAAAAAAGGGAAAAAGATGCATACTAGTGATTCAAGACAATATAAGACGTACTGGCTTTTGATTTGTTTAAGCGGGCAGTGGCTGCTGTGCGAGCTAATCCTGCTTTGTCATTTGATCAATGTGGCAGAAATATTTATTATTCCTGGAAGAGACCATGGAGCCAGTTGCAAATTTCCAGCCAGGGCCAACCGACACTGTGGGTTGTTTGTGTGTGCACAGCAATGAAACGATAAACGGATATCCTCCCCCTTTTGCTTCTCTTCTTAACTGGGCTGTGACCATTCTGTGTACACAACTGATATGTGCTTTTCAGCAGACTGCATGCTAAAACAAAAAGCATAAACCAATTAAGACAAAAACCAAAAGAAAAAGAAAGAAAGGATAAAAGAGAAAAAAGCGAATGACCCACTCATTAAGCTAGCATCAGCAGTTCTTAAAAAAGTTTAGTTATAAATTTGAATCACAGTTTATAAATAAATTAAACTATATGTATTTATACATACAGCAGAACCTCTACGAATTGGTCATATCAGAAACATTAATTTCTTCAAAACTGGTGCAAAATGAACGTTTGAAGCAAATAAACAACATGTCTACAAGTCACCAAAGAAGCACCTGTGGGTGAAATATGGAGCAAGTTTAGCCCTGGAATAGGAGTCATATGATAGCTGAGAAGGATTTTATGATACCGCACTGCTGATGATTGCAGAAGTAGTTCAATGTTGAAATTGCATGTTGGACTTTCCATCATTTTTTTGTCTGTACAGGTGTGTGGCTCTCCAGATGTTCCAGTTTCAACATTAAGATTAATGTTGGTTTAAGCAAGTGCAAATCTATTTATAGCTATATGAACCCAGTGAGAAACTGTACGCAATATCACCACGACTTTCTTTTTGCTTATTTGTCACACTTAAATGTTTAAGATCATCAAACAAATTTTAACATTAGACAAAGGACACTTAAGCAAGAACAAAATGCAGTTTTCAATGATAATTTTATTTATTAAGGGGGAAAAAATGCTATTCAAACCAAACTGGCCCTGTGCGAAAATATAATTACCTCCTAAATCTAATATCTAGTTGTGCCACCCTTGGCAGCAACAACCGCAATCAAGCATTTGATATTCAGATCATTATCATGCTCTATAATCCAAGTGTACTTGAGTTTCAGGGAACAAACTTGTGGCTGGGCATTCTCCTTCAGGATTTCTAGTAGAGAGCAGAATTCATCGATCCATCAATTACAACAAGTCATTCATGTCCTGACACAACAAAGCAGCCTCAGACCATCACATTACCATCACATACCACATTACCACCATCACCATACTTGACTGTTGTCTTTTCAATCCACAGATTATTTCTCCAGAAGTTTTGGGGATCGTCAGCAGTGGTTTTCTCCTTGGAGCTCTCCTGTGGATGCCACCTTCGCCCAGTCTCTTTTTTATTGTTGAATCATAAATGCTGACCTTAATTGAGGCAAGTGAGGCCTGCAGTTCTTTAGATGCTTTTCTGCGTTGTTTTGGACCTCGTGTATGAGTCATTGATGCACTCTTGGAGTGATTTTGATAGTCCGAACACTCCTTGGAAGCCTCAACACTGTTCCTAGTTCTCTCTTTTTGTGGAAAATGACTCTCACCATCGTTTGATGAAGTCCCAATGCCTTAGGAACCCTTCCAAGGTTGATGTGACTTGTTTTCTTATTTGTTCTTAAGTTCCTTTAGCTCATGGCATGATGTGTTGCTTTTTGAGATCTTTTAACCTACTTCACTTTGTCAGAGAGGTTCTAAAGTGACTTCTTGATTCAGAAGGTCTGGGTGTGGCTGCTTAAATTCAACTCAGCTTTCCAAAAATTGTGGTAAATTCCATTAAATTAATGATTTAACAAAGGGAGTGGGGTTGGGGAGATGTGGCAATTGTTTTTTTTAACAGTGCCAGGTAGGTTCAAATAGCTTTTTTCCCCTTAATACATGAAATCATGATTTAAAAACATTGTATTTACTCAGGTTATCTTTATCTAATATTACAAGATAAACATGTAAGTGTGACAAATATGCAAAACTAAGAAATCAGGAAAGGAAAACACTTCTTCACAACACTGTAGTCAGTACATCTTTGCACAGCTGCAGAGTAAAGGTTAGAAAAGAATCTTTTAACGTGACAAAACTGCTGTGCACATATTTTATAACAATAGTGCACACTTTTCAGCACTTTGGGTAATTCCTGTAGGAGAGTGATGAGGTACCATAAGGTAACAAGTAGGGTGCTATTACATACTCAAACTGATTGTCACGATCTAATACAACCTACTTTCCAATGCAGGCTTTCTTTTGACGTGACAGATTGACACAATGTGTGATGCTTTGTAACTTTGGGATGAATCCATCTCTCCCCTGGTGAAAACTCAATCCTTGGCATGATCTGTTTCTAACTTTTGACTTGTTAGATGTTTGCTTATCCTCTGTGCCGGGGGGAAGCTGACAGGAGAACAATCCCTGCCTGGGGATTTATGTATGCCACGTTTGATGTGTTGCCTGACCTTATTGGGGCTCGGTGGCCCAAGAATATAAAACATTCCCAAGAGAAAGTGACATTTTTGACCACAGTAAGACTGATGACATGACATTCATCACACACCAACTGCTGACCACTTTATATCCACGCAGTGATCTATTGACAACTTTACATCAAAACTTACAGGACTTAAAATTTCTGACAGAACTTGATGGGGCTCCGGTTTTTACGCAGTTCGGTGTCAAGCCGCAAGATAAGTGACAGCAAGAGTTACAAAGAAAGCTCACAAAGTTTTAAGCACATTCAGTATTTAAACCTTTGAGTCTTGCTAAACCACAACTTAACTTTGAAAGACTGAGCCCCTCTACACATCCTGTTACTAAATGTACACCTTACCCACATGTTTAGACATTATACTTACAGCATAAGTCAAACAGTAAATCTGTATCATTATTTTTAAGCCAACATGGTGGCGCTGCTGTATACGCTACATGACCATAGCTGCAGTTGTTTAACCTCACTTGTCACACTGCACATAAGCAAGGCTAACCGTATGTTTCTATAGGGATGCAAAAACCTTTAAATTCCTTGCATGCCCACATTAGATTAGGCAGACACCGAGATGGGAGCTTAAAGTGTGCCTTAGGCTATGCACTTAAGGCAATTTTATAAAGTCTTGAAAGACTGACACACAATGGCAGGCAGAGGAGGGAGGGGGCAATGCTGGGAAATGATTCCATCCATCTTGGATCTCTTGATGATGGGCAATTTATATCAGCCTGTGGGCCACATTGTGTGTGTTAACTGAGTGAAGAGAAAAGAAAAATGAGCGCATATTCTTGTGTATCAGGGAAATCGGATTAATCCCTAACATTCCCTGAGTGGGACAAGACCCTTCAAAACGAGGCAGACAAACAAGCTAACGTGACATCTGTATTTATTAGTGAGGGTGTGACTAGCCCTACAGGTGCATACAAATGAAATGTATCGTGTATCTGTTTAATAAAATACACCAAGGGACAAGCATCACTACAGTTCATTAGGGTCACTGTAGTAACAGAGAGATTTTTTTTTCATTAGCAAACATTTTTATTTGTCAGTCTGGTTCTTCTGGGAGTCACAACCTGTCCAGGGTCTACCCCACCTTTTGTCATTTGCCTGCTAGGATAGGCTCCAGACATCCCTGTGGTCCTAAACTGGATACGTGGTTAAAAAAGTGCATGGATTGATGGAAAGCACTCAGTACAAAACAGCATGCATGAGTGACAGACAGAAAACTGATTAAGTCAGAGACAGCATGAAGGTGGAGGGGTGGTGGTGCAAAGTGGTTTGAAGATGCAGCAACTCTGTGCAGCCAATGAGACCTCCCTATGAGATTTGACAATTGGATGCCTAAAAGG